ACCTTCCAGGCACCAGGATTTTTCCTGCTATACTCTAGAAAAGGTAAAAGCACAAGTAACTCTTTGTCAGCTTGAGACTGCTGCTGTCTCCACTTCTCTGTTGTTGGTAGACACTCAGCATAGTGGCACCACTATCACAGAAACGCAGTGTAGTATGATATGAGGAAGTTTCTCAAAAACTTTATTGAGCTCTGTTTGGGAGACTTGGGCAAACCTTCTCCATCCTAACAGAACACTTACATCTCTTTTCAGTTTCTCCCAAGCCCTGAGATGTATTTCCTTGCCCAGAACAGCATCCCACAGATGCCATGCTCTGCAGGCAGGATGGGCCAAGTCCAGCCAGGGGGCAACCAGGTCCTGCCTGCCTGGCTTGGTATAGCTTTGACAGTTGTTTTCTTGGTTATTTGAGAAGAAGAGAAAAGAAAAGAAAGAAAAGGGAGCAGGGAAGGAACTCTCTACATCTGAATTCAGATTTTACGCTCTCCTCATTTTTGGATTCTGGAATTAGAAATATCCTGAATAAAACTGATTCTTCTGTGCCTTTGCATGTACTGTAAGTGATAACCATCAAGGGACATGTTGACGTGCTGGATAGGGAGGGGTTAACAGTTTTTAAGTGTGTGTGTGTGTGTGTGTGTGTGTGTGTGTGTGTGTGTGTGTAAGAGAGCGAGAGAGAGACAGAGAGACAGAGAAAGTAGGTATGCAGGAGTAAAGATTGTATGCAAATATACAGAAGCCAGGGCAGGCTGCCAGATGTCTTCTTCTGGGGTCTTGTGTTACCGCTCTGAGACAGGGATTCCAGCTGAACCAGGAGCTTGCCATTCAACTTGGCCAGTGGGTTTGCAGGATCCATCTGTCTCTGTCCACCAATACTGGGGTTACAAGCATGCATGTAACTTTTTATGTGGGTTCTGGGAATTCAAACTCAAGTCCTCATGCTTGGAGAACAAGGTTCTTACCCATTTAGCCATCTTTTCAGGCCTGAGCTTTTCCAAATTTAATCTTAGTTCCTCTTGTCATTGCTATACTTCCCACATTGTCATGAACTTTTTTTTTTCCCCATGGCTTCCCCTGAAAGAATAACACAGCTCTAGGTATTTAGATAAAACAATAACTGTTGATGTGTGACCTTACTCTGACTTTTTCCCTTATCATATCTCTTATGTATCTGTGAAGTATCCCAGGGATAATGATAGATGGCATCATACTGGTTAGTGTGTTTATAAGCAGCAGCATTCTGGAGGCTGTGCCAGGTCAGTGAGATGGGGGTGTGTGATATATTATTAATGGAGAGTCCACGTTTTAACCATCTCACATTATTCTTTTTCCACAGACATGCCCAGTAGCAGCTGACCTGAGCATGACTCAGCCCAGGCTCTGCAAATCCATTTTGCTGAGGCTCTCCACCAGGCAGGAAGAAGGAAAGCCAGCTTCCTTCCCCAGGGAGGCAGGCGAGAAAGAATTTAGGATGCTGACACAATTGTTTGTGTATCAAAGCAGGGAATTCCCCAAAGGCAAATGGGAAATGGGAAATTACAATAGCATTTGTAGGTATGAACTTACCTTGCAGGTATCTGAGTGAGAAATATTAACATGTTGTCACTTAGGAGCAAGGTGTTTACAATCCAACAGAAGCCCAGGCAGATGGGTAGAATTCTAAGTAGAGGCTGTGGTGATTTGAAAGAAAATGGCCCCCAAAAGGAGTTGCATTATTAGGGTGTGCTGCTTTGTTGGAGTAGGTAGGTGTGGTCTTGTTGGAGGAGGTGTGTCACTGTGGGGGTGGGCTTTGAAGTCTCATATAAACATGTTCAAGCCACCCCCAGTGACTCAGACCACTTCCTGTTGCTTGTGGGTCAAGATGTAAGAACTCTTAGCTCCTTCTCCAGCACCATGTCTGCCTGTGAGCTGCCATGCTTCCTGCCATGATGATAATGAGCCAAACCTCTGAACTGTAATCGAGCCACCATGATTAAATGTTTTCCTTTATAAGAGTTACCATAGTCATGGTGTCTCTTCACAACAATAGAAACCCTAAGACAGAGGATATAATGATTGGCTGTGGTCTTGGAGTTCAAGGTTTTGCTTAGCACTCTTCTATCCTCTCTTCTTCCCTTCCTCCTCTTCCTTCTCCTCTCTGTAACCCTGGCTGGCCTGGAACTTGTGATTCTCTTGCTTCAGTCTCCTCAGTACCAGGATTGTGGGTGTGAGCCACCATGCCTTACTCATTTTCTTCACTCTCTTGATTCCTTTGGCACTGCATTCAAATCTTGTATGTCTGCTTTTCAAGAAAGCAGGGGGTAAGATGTACTGGAGAGATGGATCAAAGGTTAAGAGCACTGGTTGCTCTTTAGAGGACTTGGAATCAATTCCCAGTCACCACATAGTGGTTTACAAGCATCTGATACCCTCTTCTGACATCCTTGGGTACCAAGCATGCATATGGTACACATGCATAAATGCATGCAAACCCACTTTCACATGAAATAAAAATGAATAAATCTAGTAATTAAAGAAAAGGAAAAAAAGAAAAGCAAACAAGAAGGCAACAAAAGCTACCAGATGCTGTCAAGGAGCTAACACCATCCAAGGTCAGGGCTAGCAGGGCCCTGGCACATGGTGCTGGGGATCACTAAACACTCACATAAGAAATGGAATTCATGCTGGAATCTCTTTCCAGGGCTTGATGTCGCATTCTGCTTTTCTGTCTTGTCTTAGAATTAGAACCTTCTCTGATTATGCTCCTAAGAGAGTTGGAGGCCATGCTTTGGCACAGCATGTATTACTATACTTCAGGTTCCTCCATGTGGCTATGGGCTCAGTGAACTAAGAATTTCTGCTTTCCATTTTTTTCTGTCCTCTTCCTCTCTTCTCTGGCACCCTCTATTTCCCTTACTCATGCTCCTCCAACTCTGGTCTGATCTCCACTACCATTCAGTCTGGACCTGACCTCCTATGTTTGCAGATCAGTATAGATTGTGCCCATGGAATTTCCCCATCACATTTTAGGCTCAGTCTTTGCAGAAATTCTCAACTCAGACAAGATCCATACCTCTGATGGATACACGGTATTTATGACAGGATCCCATGATGCACTACTGCTAGAGTAAGAAAGCAAAGAGATGCACTTGTGTCTGCAACATTGAGTTATGAGCAGACAATTCTTATTTATATCTGTCTTTTGGTTTACCTCAGTCATAATATCTCTGTTTCCCTAGACTGCCTTTGTTTTTATCTGTTGCATAAAAGAATTCAACAACATCCTCTCTCTCTCTGCCTCTCTCCATCTGTCTCTGTCTCTGTCTCTCTCTCTCTCTCAAACATTCCCTGATTTGAAAGATGTATTATAAAGCCATCCCTTCCTGATTTTGGAATGGCGGCTATCTAGGCTTCTTTACAAATAGGATGGATTACCAGGCAAAAGTTTTTCACTTGCAGCAACAACAAGAACTGTGAGAAGGCAAATTCAGCCGAAGTCTCATTTCAGAAATGATGCTTCAAAGAGTATTTTTTATTTCTTTCCCTGTAGTGCAAACTGGAAATGTTTTAAAAATCATATATCAAGTAGTGTTTTGGAAAACATGAAGGAACTGTGCTACACAATTTACATTTTTTGTGGTCAACCTTTGCTCAATGGAATAAATATGAGGCAAGCTAAAAATACCCTAGGGAACCACATACACACATAGCATACATCACATGTCTTTGATGCTTTTGAAACCTCCTTTTTTTTTTCTCACCTCGCTCTGTGTTACTGGGTAGAGTGCATCTCCTACAATGAGGTGTGAATAAGAAGGCTAATAATACCTTGAAAGAGCTGGTGACAACTGTTTATCCTAAAACCATACCTCTATGTTTAGATACTACCAAAAGCATCCAGGGAGCTGGGAGCGGAATGTTCTAGCTTGGTAACGTGGACTGTCTCTACCTGAGCAGCCAAGCACCACATGCCATCACGCTGCATTGTTGATGTAGGACAACAGTTAATAGGAAAAGGCATCATGCACATGTAGTTGGTACAGTCTGCCCTGCCTGCGGAACCATACCTGCATCTACAGGTGCAAGTACTGTGTGCTCAAGAGAGACCCTTACCTTGGCTTGTAACTCTCACTTCTGGAAACATTGTTCTTGGTATGCATTAAGCATTCACTGACTCTTCTCTTCCCACTGTCTAACAAAGGGCACAGGTGGAAGGAGAGGCGGTGGAAACCCTACCATCTGGCTCCAGGACTGAAGAAGAGAAAGATGGCAATCCTAGACTAGAGACATCCTACCAAGCAACAATAGGTAGTCAAGAGTTTTTAATACTCAGATGTCTTGCAATAATCAAGGCAGATTTTATAGGAAGTAATGAAGAAAGGGTAAGAAGGCAAGGCATGATGACTGAATTCCAGGTCAGGCAGGGTTACATAGTGAAATTCTGTCAAAAATTAATATTTTTTTTCTTAAAAACGCTTACTCGTTATAGCATGGTCAGACCTCATGCTTAAGGAAATCTCTCAGCCATAGCACACCCTAAATTACACCTGGCTACTCTGCAAAACAGTAATTTATACCAGTTGTTTGTCTCTGATATTCCATCCACTCACATATTTGCATATCTCAAGACCTATTGGGCACAAAGACATTTGAATGAACCCCACTCTTCATTATTGTAGAATGATATGTAATTTATTCATATACCGACAGACAGTACTCAAAATTCATTTAAGTAAGCAAGTGATTACACAAACATCTAGTAATACTAAAATCGATAGTCCCAAAGTATAAAATACCATGGTTATGAAATACCATGGTAAATACTATTCAACAGACTACAATCATAATTCCAAACTAAATCACATTTTAAAGAAGATGATTCTTAGCAGTTTGAGGATGATTTTGTTTTTCTTCTTCCAAGCACCTTCTTCCACTGTTGTGAGTATGCTAATTTCAAGAAATAGTGCATGGTATCATTGCTCAGGTTCCTGTGTTATAATACATTTTCTTGTAAATTTATTTATTTTTTTAAAATATTGCCCCTCAACATAGAAAACAAACCAGTCAGCCCTCAATCCCCTATGCTCAGTTTGGGGTAGTGCTGAGGGCCAACTCTGGGTTTAGCAAGGGACAGGCAGTGAAAAACCCTTCACAGTCTTGGAAAGATATGGCTTCTTTTCTGGGGCTCCAAGCATCATACACATACTTAGACATCCAAGCCTTGAAGTGGTGGAAATAAAACACATTTCTATCCTGATGACTACGGCACAGTTGCAACTGTGGTTAAGTTAGGCTACAGGTCTGCAGGATTTCTCATAAGGATGGCTCCTATTTAAGCTGATTTCTTATAGCCTTGTTACATTTTTTGTGAAGTGCAGTTATATGTGCAGGATGATTTTGGCTTATCATGTGTCTGTCTGTATTATTTTAAAGTCTTATACTTTACCAGAATGAGGTCCAAGCATGAACCTGGCTTGAGAAGCTAGCAGCAGTCCTCATGAAACATTTTAATAAATATGAACACAGAATGAGGCTCAGTTAAATCTCTTACATACAAATTATAGCTAGAGAATTATTACACATTTTTAATATTGAATGATGAGGGGGAGGGAAAAAATCTAAAAAAATAGAAAACTTTCTCCATACCTGGGTGTCAAGGACAGATGCTAACACTGCATAATGCCACAATATGAGCAGTCACTGGAAGGTAGATACTCCAGAAATAGTGGTATTTGGGGGAATCTTGGAATTATGACCAAGAGATGAAAATACTGTACCAAAAGGCATGCATATATATATACACGTATGATCACTATGTGCATTCGGCGTGTGAGCTGTCACCTAAGCAGAGATCGAAGACAACGATGAGGCAGTGTTCTTGGGGTCCATTGGAACAGGCATGGACACTACATGTTGATCAAACCCTCAGATGCAGCGAAATGCGGGCACAGCGCCATGTCTGGGTTCTGCAGCTGCTTTATGATCCTCTTGCGGAATTTCTCCCGCACACGGTTAAATTCCATTATGTCCATGGGGTCCTCCTCAATCCAAAACTTGTGAAACTCATGCATCAGATAGCCTGTTAGGGACAAGACAGTGAGAAGACTGCAAGAGAATGGCCCCTAGCCACATTGCAAACCACCACGGGTGAGTTAGAGCAAGGCCACAGTCTCCGAGGAGTTCACAGGAAGTTCACACCAAGGTTTGGTATAACCAGTGGAGTCGAAGCTACCAAGCTGCCTATGTTGCTTTTTTTCCTTCTGCAGCGAGTGTTAGAGACATTTCCAGTTCCACAAAGCAGGGGAGCAAATAGATTCTATTCTGTCACCTCTTGAACACGAATCACAGTGGGAACATATTCTTATTAAAATTTTTTTATGTTTATGAGTGTTTGCCTGTTACGTATGTGTGTCTGTGCACCACATTCTGAGGTGTCCCTTGGAGGTCAGAAGAGGGCACTGGATCTCCTGGAACTGGAGTTACAGTTGTGAGCTGCTATATGGGTGCTGGAAATCAAAGTCTGGAGCCTCTGGAAGAGGAAGCAGTCAGAGGTCTTAACCACTGACCAGTCTCTCCAGCTCAGCTTTGATTTTTGTTCATTCGCTCATTTGTTCCTCCCTTCCCTCATTCTATCCTTCTTTCCTTTCTTTCTATTGAGGCAAGGTCTCTCTATGTAGCCCTTGCTGGCCTGGAACTTGCTCCGTAGAGCAGGCTGGCTTCAATTCACAGATATATAACTGCCTCTGCCTCCCAGGCACTGAGATTAAAGTGTGTACCACATGCCTTTATGTTCAAATATTTCAAAATATCTTCAAATTCATAAAATTACATTTATTCATGCATGTTTGTTTTTAGGTGTGTGGGTGTAAATGTTTGTAGAGGCCAAGGGGTAACAATAGGGGCCTTCTCTCCATCTTATATATCAAGGTGGAGTGTCTCACTTGAGCTCAGAGCTTGCCATTTCAGCTAGTCTAGCTAGCTAGTCTGTTCTGAGGATCCCTCCTCTATGCCTCCTGAGTACTGGGACTGCAGATGATGGGTTATCATGCCTGCTTGGTATTTAAATGAGTTCTGAGGACCTGAGCACTGGCCCTTGTACTTGCAAGGCAAGTACCTTGCCCAGTGAGCCATCTTCCCATCCCTCCTACACCCAGAACTTACTCTAAAAGGCCAGCAGTGACTCCTTCATCCTTCCCTCCCAACTAAATTATACAATGATCCAGTCTTTCAAAGTTACTCCACTCTATCTTTTTTTCCCTCTCAATATTCACTTTAACTAAAAATTCAAATTACCTTGACACATCAAACAAATGCATTTGACCATCTATTATAAGACAATAAGAACTATAAATCAAGTCTAAGCTACACAGACTCGTGATCAAGATTCATGAAATTGATAATAATACTTATTTCCAAAGCACAATTACATATTCAAATGCTTTTGTGTTTCAAAGATGTTATATATGAACACTCTGGAGTGGACATTGTTTTGGAATGAATGTTAAGTATTTGAAGCAAGAATCTGTTTATTTTTTTTCTTCCCCATTTTGCCCCTTCCTTCAACTCCATTGTTTGTTTTTGTGCACATCTAAAAGAATTGAAATGTGAATGCTTCCTTTAAAAGGCAATATTATATATTTGTATGTAGTAAACCCCAATGCAATTGCATCCCTCCCTATACATTAGGAAAAGAAAATCCTAGTTTAAGGGAAAAGGAAAAAGTGAACACAATTCAAGTTCTTTGTTCTAACTTTAGGGGGTATAAGAAAACACAGACAGAATGCTGGAGAGGACCCTGGTTGGGCTCTCAGCTCTCTTCCTTTCATGTATAAAGAGAATCTAGGAGGAGTGAGCAGGGGGGCACAAGATGAGAACAGAGAACAAGCCTACTCAATTGAACAACTAAGCAAAACCAACAGCCTTTCCTCTGGTAACTAACAATGTATGGAAATAGTTTCAACACAATCTACAAGCAGTTTTAAAGCATTGCATTCATATTTTACTGTAATGCAGTATTGGAGGTGTCCTTCCCCAACATACATTGTTTGATGGTGACACATTCACACAATGCACCCGTCTCATTACTCCTCTCATTGCATGTACAGGCACACTCATATATTTTTAAGAATTCAGTCACTCAAGCCTAGGAGAAAAGGTTGAGGGAACAATTATTTTGCATTTGTTTTGGGTTGTCTATTCTGTTCCATTTCTTCTCTTTTTCTTTCTTTTGACAAGATTTCTTGCAATCCAGTCTTGTCTTGAACTCACTATGCTGCAGAGATCTTTGAACACCTGTCTGATTCTTCTGCCTCCACCTCCCAGTGCATTCCACACCTGGTTTATGTGTTATTAGGGATCAAACTTAGGGCCTTTGTGTGCTAGGAGAGCACTCTACTAGGTGAACCCATCCCCATCGCTGTCCCATTTCTTTCAGAGCAATGGGCAAGACTGCTTCTGATCATTTATGATGGAGGCATTTACTCCCCTTGCCCAGCTGGCCTTGAGGCTACACAAAAGCTGACTACCAGGAAAACTGCAAGTCAGGTCCACCATCACCCCAGGAGCTGTCTTCTCTGTTTCCACTCATCTGGCCCTTGGATTCCCTGAGGGGGGGTTCAAGGCTGATTCCAGGCTTGGGCATCTCTAGGAACAACATTGACAGTTACACAGATGAAGGAATGATTTTTTTTTGTTATGCATTTTTAAAAAAGCCTTAGTATGGAGTCCTGGCTAGTCTTTAATTTATAATCCTGCTTCAGCTCAAGATTCTTAGAAGGTTCCTGGGCAGAAAGCTGTGGGCCTGTACTTCATGGAACAGATATAGTTCTTCTCTGAGACTTGCAGTGTGCTTCATGCCCAGCACTCATCTCCTCTCCAGGTTAAGCCGCTGGCCTCCCCATCATAGCTCATGTGTGGTGAGTGATGGCATCTCTTTGTCCTTCTAGTTGTTTCAATACTTGATGACAGCACTGTTTCTTCTGATCCCTGCCTCTTATTCACTAGAACTCAATCCTCTGTCCATTTCAGAGAGTGGAAAAGCTCCTAAGATATCTCTGGAATAGCCTGGGGTAATTTGTTAGCTATGCAGATCCACCCAGATTCAGCCAGATGAATCTCTAACATTGAAGTTTAAAACCTAAGATCTGGAAGACTCCATCTTTTTACATCCCTCCAGGTCTCATAGGAATGTTTCAACTGATATGGTTACAAAAGAAATGAATGAGAATTCATAGTTTCTTCTTTTCTTAATATATAAAACACAAATACAAGTTCCAAGTGGTCATTGAGCTCAAAGAAACATACTTGAGTTGTTTGGCAAGGAGAGTCAGATTTCTAATATGAGTTACAATCATCCATGATGCATCCATCTCATTAGTTATCTCCTTAGCTTACTTCCCATTGACATTGATAAAGCAGGTAGTATGGAAACCATTTTTTTTTTAAATTTGATTTTTGGCTGTATTTATGTGGTACAATCTGATAATTTGATGCATGGGTATGCTGTGAACTACCAAATCAGATTATGTAGCATCTTTGTTTCCTTTTAATGAACAATTTATCTTTCTGTACTATACATAAAGATGCCCACTTTTCTACAATATGCAGACACCCTGGCATCTCACTCTTAAGGGGATGTAACATTACAGAGTTCTAGGTTATCTCAGACACAGTTGTTTCCCTCATTTTTCTATTGTACAGACAACTATAGATTACCATCTTGGAGGATGATGGTCCCTCATAATCTGACACCATTTTCATAATACTTCCTTGATACGTACAAATGTAAATTGCAAATCCTACACCTTGGGACCCTCCCTATCTTATTGGGAAAATGACTAGAGACCACATAGCATGATTCAATGAAAATACAGAAATAGTAACCTGGCTTCCAAAGTAGATATTATAATCATAAAGCTCCACTCATTTATGTATTATAGCACAGCATTCAAATATTCATTTGGCCAGTTACCTGCTCAACGCATCTACCAATTATATGTGTAACAGATACACTGTTAGGCACTGAGGATGGAGAAAAAGGCAGAGTTCTCACATTTCCTAATTCTCTGTCTCTTGGAAAGGTGGGTATTCAATTTCACAATGACTTGTTAGCCGAGGAAGCTAACAAAGTAGTGTGGCAAGGGGAGGGAGAAAATGGAGTCAATCTATTGCCTCTAGTCTTCAATTTCATTCATTTCCAAGCACTGTAGCCAAGCAGATTATATTTCTCCACCTTACAGATGTGGACACTGGGTTCAGCCAGGGGGCTTGAACAGTGCACATTCACACAGTTTGGAAGCCAGGGCTGACACAGGCACCTTCCAATTGTTGCTGCAAGTTGCTGCCTCTGGTGCTTATTTCTGTGTTAAAATTTCTCTGTCTTGAAGGTCAAAGAACAGATAATCTGCCCCCTTTTCTACACTTGTCTTTTTCTCTGCTCACTACACCTAACCTTACCCCATTACTGTTGTGTTGTGTGTTCAGTGGAGCTTTAGATTGGATGGCATTTTTGCAACACGGTGCCTTGGCAGTGCAGCCTTCACTGACTAAGACTGTAAAGTCAGGAAGATAGAGCCATTACATTCTTATTTCCTTTTCTCTAAATGAAATACTTGTTTTGAATACTAATTTGGCTTGCCATCTGAAGCCTGCTGCATATTTATTGCTGCTCAAATATGATTTGGTTTTGCTTCACTGCATCCTGTTAGTAGAGAGCAGAGGCATATGCAAGGACACAGATAATTGCAAGAATATTACAGAGGAGACTGCAGAAGTGACCATGCCCAGTGGAGGAACAATGAATCTGGGGTACAATTTACCTCTTCTAAAGACACCCAGTCTCTCTGACCATAACCTAATCCATTGGTGATTGTTGCTCTTTCTGAAACCCAAGGAATGTCTTGGAAAATAAGATATCCTGCTTCATGCTTACTTATCTGGACTAGGACTCTTCTGAAAAACCTATCAACTGGATAAAACTAAAAAAAAATCCTTCAATATTGCATTATCTTATCTGTCATCCACCCACCCACCCACCCACCCATCCATCCATCCACCCATCCAATACAGAGTTACTAAACACTCTACTAGGCTGAGCATATAGCAATGAACGAAACATCTCCTCCTACTCTTACATGCCAATTCTTGCTTTTAACTTTGATTCTTTCCTAGGAGATGTCATTTGCTGCATGTTTCTGATTTTTAATTCCAAGCAGATGAATTAAAAGTCTGTAGGCAGAGCCCTTCTAACCCTTCAGAGCCCCAAGGCTTCTCATAGGAATGTCCAATTTGTGGCTCCAAATGGATTTCCCCAAAGGAATTTACCTTCAATTTGCCTCAAATTAAACTCAGTCTATTTTACCTTACAAGAGCTTTCCTGATTTTCTCCAAGAAAGATGGAACCTATAGAACAGGGCAATGTATGAAAGGCTAACAAAAACATAGGGCAAGAGAATTTATTTGTTATTAGTTATGCTTGTGCTCTCTAACAAGGCTCCAAGATCTTTAGGGTCCATTCCAAATTCTCTTCGTAAGTTTCTTGTATCATATCCAATCAATCATACCCTCTGTGTTATACTGTTGGGATCTGCTGTACACTCCTGTCTTGTGGCCTGTGTCCTTTCCACTTTGCTGGCTGGGTCACTCAGCCCCCACTCCTCCACCTTCTGCCACCCAGCCTTGGGTTCTCTCTGGAAATGGCATTTGCTTCAGGGAGCTCTCTCTCTGCTTCAGACTCAGTGGGTGATGACGGCCATATGCTTTTGCAGCATTTTAAAACAGTATGTTTACTTCTGAGTATGTTGTACTTATGTGTTCCGATGCCAGTCTTCCTCAGTATAGACCCCGATCTTCAGTAAAACCCCAGAAATATGTTTTGGGGATAGAGTTGTTACAGGAGTGACTATAGTCACCCATTGGTCAAAACGGGAGCTATAGATGTCAGATTTTTCCACTAACACACTATAAACACTTCTTTAAATGTCCTCCTCATTTTTGCCAGTTATACTTGCATCGTTTGGAGTCAGATAGTTTCACATATTTTGATGGAAAACGAAGAACCATGAATGTGGTAGCCTCTCCTATCCTAATCCATGCTCTATACTCACTCCGGCTAAGCCTTCTGACTGCCAAACTCTACAGCCCCACCACACACTCTGCATTCCTTTTCTGGATTGTTTTTTAAACCTCTATTTGCAGAAGATACAGGTTTAGCCCCTGTTTGCAGACCCAGCCATACTCGATTCCTTACTGTTTTTAACCTGGACCAGCTGCCTACTTTGTTCATTTACTTAGTTTTCCATTTAATTTAACCACAGACCACTGTCCTTAAAGGGGCCAAATGCACTCTTGATGTGTTCAAATTTGGTAGACATTTGCTCAGTTCCAGAGCTTGGTCAAGATCCAGATCTGTTCAGCCTATTGTTTGGGGTCCACCTTGGGAGGGCCCCTTTCCTTCACCTGAGGATTCCCTTCACTCTCTTCCTGGAAAGACTTCCTGTTGCCTGGGTTTATTTACCCTTCCTGGAATTACTCTCTTATTTTGTAGAAACATCATATTTTTCAGGAGTTTCCTTATCAAGTTATGGGGAAGTAAAATTTAAGACTATATATATATATATATATATATATATATATGTATATATATATATATATATATATATATGAAAAAGTCTGTCCTACTTTGATACTCAATACTCAATTGATAAGTTAGACTGGGAATAATATAATTTGAGCTTTTACATCATATTTCCTTTATGCCATCCAAAGTTTTGTTGTCATTATCCATTTTTTTTAATAAAAGGCTGTTTCTGAGAAACCTAGTGTAGTCTTGATTCCAAAGCTTTTGAGTAACAAAGTTTTGGAAATTTTCAGAATCGTCTCTTCATATTGTCATAGTATCTCACAGTGATGTAGACCTTGGTTTGGTAGATTTTTATCTGTTATGTGAGTGCTTGGAATTTAAAATATGAAAATATGTTCTTTAGGCCTAAAATTTTATCACATTATTTATTTACTTATTTATTAGCCCCCCCCACACACACACAGAGAAAGCATGTGTGAAGAGGTCAGAGGACAACTTGTAGGAGTCGGTCCTCACTTCCATCACATCATGTAGGTCTTAGGGATCAAATTCAAATTCACATCTTCAAGCTTAGCAGTCAGTGTCACCACAGAGTCATCTTGGTGGCCTGATTTTTTTCCCCCTTGATTTATAGATTTGTTTCCTTTCCCTGAATTTCTCCTTTTTGTGACAAGCTCCCTCCCCATTCAGGTAGGAGACTTCCCTCAATGGCCTTTTCACGTTTCAAGCTTTATTTTTTATTTTTCATAAATACCTTTTTGATTTGCTTTCTAGGCAAGACTTTCAACCTTACTTTCTAATCTTCTAGTGAATTTCATTTCTGTCAAACCTGGCGGTCAGCTCAGGCTGTCTTTAGATTAGTATTCTTCAGTGTTAAACTGTGCTAGATCAGAAAGAGACAGACAAAATCATATCTGAGGTTGACACATTGCATATCACATAGGAGATGAGAAAAAGAAAAATCCATGAAGCCCAGAAATATAAGTGTAAGTGTTTAAATGATAAAATAATCAGACAGTGAAGTTAAACCCAAAGAAACTCTTTCCAAGGGCCCAACATAGCTCCATCACAGTGATTTCTTAGTGTTGACCCTTGTCTGCTCTATAGAAACCCATACTGATCATTAAACAGCAGGGCACTTACAGAATGTTTGTTGGAAGTGAGACAGCGTTGGTGCTTCCGGGGCGATGTTGTAGAAATGAGTTTTCAGAGCACCACTCACAAGCAGATTATATGCCAGATCAGTGATGTTGATGCCCACAATTGCAAAGGAGTACCTGCAGGTAGGACCCACAAAAACCAATAGCGTTGCATTATGGGATATAAGCACTTCAAAAACCTGAGCCCTAAATTCCTATTAAACCACCAGGGTGGCAAGCCAGCTATCCACCTCTACCCTATCAATGTCTTGTCCTCTAACTCTGCCACAAGGTTTTGATAACACATGCTGAGAGACCTGAGAGACTTCAGACTTGGTAACTCCATTTCCAAACATACTGTAGGTCAGTGTCTGAAGTGGACCAGTTTTTTATAGATGAGAATATTTGCTACAGCATTATTTTTCATGTCAAGTAGAAACCATTCAAATATGCTATAAAGATTCCTATAGAAATTAATTATGGTAATTTTTGTGTTAACTAAATTATGGTACATTTATAGCTAACTGAAATTGCATTCTTAGAGACTTTAAAGCAAGACACATGTGTAGAACAAACCTAGATTTAGCATAGATGGAGATGTGTGCATGGAGAACAGCTAGAATGAAAAGCTATGAGTCCTTACTGTGGGTGTGCAAAGTTGATAGGATGGGCTGATGGACTGACTTCTGGGATACATTCTTGCATTTTCTACATTTGAATTTTATGTGAGAAAGGCTTAAGGTATTACCACAAAGTATTTTATGTCCCTCTTCTACGGAAAAGAGAACAGAATTCTTAAATTCTCCCTATTCTTGTAAACCCAGCATAGTAATATTTCTGAATGGAATAGGCAATTAAGAACATATTAATTTGTTTATTTGTGTGTGTGCATGTGCCTCAGCATGTGTGTGTAGAGGTCAAGAGACAATTGGAGCATTCTTTCCTTCTACATATAGGTTCTGAGGATTAAACTCAGGTCATTGGGCTTGGTGGCAAGTTCCTTTACCTGCTAGATACCTGTCAAGTATCTAATGTAAAAATTCAAAACAATTTTTAAATTTTATTTCCTTATTTTATGAGTATTGGTGTTTTATCTGCATGTATATCTTTGTACTATGTGAGTTCCTGGTACCCATTGAGACAAGAAAGGGGTGTTGAATCTCCTGGAACTCTGGAGTTACAGATGGTTGTGAGCTATGTGGGTTCTGGGAATCAAACACAGTTTTGCCATCCCTGAGTCATGGCTGAGAGTCCTCATGTATGACCCCACACTTACCCGATTGCTTTATCCATCCTTTTCTTTTCCCATTCTGCTTTGCTGAATTTGCTGACAGAAAGAATGAATAAATAAATAAATGAATATCTAACATTTAACTTGTTCCTGCTCTCTTTGTATGCTTATATTAAATCATTAACTACATGTAGAGATACATTTAACTCTATTATCACACTAGTCAGTATGGATATATTACTGCCAAAGGAAGGAGCATAAGCATGATGGCACACACCTGGAATTCCATCATCCCCACTTGTATTGTTGCTACTATATATATATATATATAGTAGCAACAATATATATATAAATTTATATATATATATAAATCAGCTTGGATATATCCAAGCTGATTAGTGTTAGATAGTAACAGTGTTAATTAACATAAGCCAATGCAGGAAGATTTTGAGTTTTAGGTCAGCCTGGGCTACACAGTAAGACCTTGTCTCAAAAACAAACAAACTTTTGCATTGGAGCTACATCCAAGTTTAAATCCATCTAAGCAGGAAAAAGGAGAATTTTCTAGAACAGATGGCAAATGACACACTACAAACACTCATGTACTACCACAGCACACAATCACAGAAACATGGTACACATTGAATACACAAATGTGCTTTGTACTCTGTGAATGACTGGCTATGATGCCAAGTACCTACTGGAATTCATGGTAAAATATTCCATCTATTTTTATAATTTCCTAACAACAAAGTAAACTAAAGAGGCACCAAGAGAGTTTTGCCTCTACAAGATTCATCTTCAAAATGAATTGAATTGCATGTGGAATTTAAAGATTTTGTTCATTTTATCTTCAACAAAGCTTTGAAAAGTCCACAGTATGTCTATATTTGTTGACTTCTTGTGTCTATATTTGTTAAATGAAATCTTTGTGTTTGAAATTTAATAAAAGGCCCAGTAGCTTCCACTCATTTAATAACTTTTAAGATGGCCCCCAAGTAAACAAGCAAGAGTGAAGAAGCACCTTTCTCCTCTTAAAGTTGCATCTACTTTTGTCCCTCAAGTTTCTTCAGGACCCTATGAATGGTCACAAGGCAACAATGCATCATGCTTGCTGAAGGACAGCTGGGAACATGTCCTTAGTACATATGCTCATGTCTCACTGTTGAATTTTTGAAATGTGTAGTGTCTGATAGAAGCTATGATGATACCATAACTGGTCAAAATATACCTCTTTCAGACAATCATGTAAGAAATAGATTAGCATTTTCAAGACATTTTGATTCATACTTGGCGACCTTCAACATCACTTTGAAGCAATGAATACACAAGCTTCTTTCTCTTTGACTAGATTGTAGCTTGGGGGATAAACTAGGTTCCTCACAGCACACATATGAAGGCCACTCTCCTTAAGAGTTGTCCTCAATCTCTCAATCTCTCTCTCTGAGAACCAATAAAGGAGCCACAACTGCAGAACCTCTCTCTACCCTCTCTTTGTTTGAGGATGACTCACTGACAAAATTAATCTCCCTTCAATGGTCATTCAAAAACTATTTTAAGCTTATTGTTACTTCCCCAGGATCACAGAGAATCCATGAATCCCGGTTCTGATGTAGGAAACACTACTTGGAAACACAGACTCTCAGTCATCTTTGATTAGAGGAAGTTCAGAGGCTCCATAATGTAGAGCCATGCAATCCAGAAGATACATTTAAAAGCCAAAGTAGCTTGAGGTTGAACCTGCAATCTATCAAGAAACAGCTAGATGATTTTAATGTTTTTCTTGAAATAAATAAAAGTCAAGAAGATAAATTTTTAATCTCATAAAAGACTACAAATGTAAGTTTGGGAAAGTAATGTAATTTAATGAACCTTAGCCAAATGGAGCTAGGAAGAGGATAGTAGTAACATCAGTGAAGTAAACCCAAGCCAACCGGTTCCTGAATTTTAAGACTGATGTAATAAAACTTTAGGTTTACTTAGCCAGTAACAACTAAGTGCTATTAGGTGGAGGACAAAACAGAAAAAAAATCTAATGGGGCCAGGACCGTAAAACAGAAGGAATTCTCAGAAAAGCCACTAACTCACACATTAACTACTATTTATAATGATCAAATTAGAAATACATTGATCAAGGACAGAAGTGGTGGGACATGCTTTTAATCCCAGCTCTAGGGAGCAGAGGCAGGTGGATCTCTGTGAGTTTGAGGCCAGCCTGGTCTACAGAGTGAGCTCCAGGCTATCCATGGCTAAGTACTGAGACTGTGTTTCCAAAAAAAAAAAAAAATTACTAATCGAAGACCAAATTTTCACTATGCAAGAAAATTCCCAAATAAAATGTCCTGGAGGGGATTTGGTCATGTGTGTGAGATGGTCACCTCTTTAGAGGAAGGGATTAAATGTCCCTAAAACTGGGTGTATTTCTGGCTACTTGACCCTTTCATTAGCTTAGAATAATTTTTCTTTTCGTTACTAAAAATGTATCCCACAAGTAACCATCCTTAGCAGATTAAAAGCTGGTGAATGTTTGCCTTTGAAAGTGTTTTATACAAATCTACTCATTCTAAAACAGAATAAAAACAACAAAACACAAAAGCAAAGAAAAATACCTTATTTCTTCTTTAGTGACATCCCTTCATGTGTTTAGTCAAAGGAAAGAAATCAAGTAAATGCAAGTACAGCATTGAACTTTAAAACAAAAAGTCTTGGAAAGTCCAGCTTTCTCTGTGGGGCTTTGACTTCCGCTCTCCCTTATGCCACAACACATCCCCTTGTCTTTGAATTCTTTTCTCCATATCCGTTCCTCCATGCTCACCTTTCAATTTTCCTAGACACTCTTGACATACATCTTGCTTGAAGGACTCCAGTCTACCTTCTACGTCCTGAAATGAGTATCTGAAGTGCTAACCTTCCTGTTTAGCATCTGTCAAAAGGTCTAGTGAGCACACTTTCCACTCGACCCCCAGTGAGCAGGCTCTCCTGACAACATTTCTCTACAGGTCCATGTGGGAAACGATATTTACTGATGCAAAAACCACTAACCCATTTTTTATTTGAAACAATTACCTGCATTTTGGATGAAGAGAGTCGGAGAGGACCTGCTGAGCCACTGTGGCATCCCGTTCTGCGAAATATCTACAGGCAGAGGGAAAGAACACCATGATTGTATTGTCTGCAAGACAGCCACCCTCATTTGGTGGGAGGCCACCGGGCATCCAGAGGTAGACACTGGCATGAAGTCACCACTCTTCCAGAGCCAGCAGACTTGAAAACTTAATTGTAAACTTCGTTACTGCTCAGAGAGTCAAGTATATAGTCAAGCATTGGGGGTGGGTGTCTCAGAGATTGAAGACCCCTAGAACCAGAAGTCTGAGAGAAGCAACATGGCAAAAGAGAGAGGGAACTCCCTCCCCTCCCCTCCTCCCCTTCCTGTCTTCCTGTTTGTTCCCTCCGAGACAGTACTCTGCAGCTCAGGTTAGCATTGACCCGGTTATACAGTCAAGGATGAGTCCTGATCCTCTTGCTTCTATCTCCCGAGAGTTAGGATTACAGGTATGAACCACAATGCCCAGATCAAATGCATCTTTCTTAGAAAGTAATCATGCTGTATTTGAATTCATGATGATTAGAAAACATCTCATAGAACTTAGGGATGTTAACAAAATGAAATTTCTGCCTTGGGGGGATCTGTCAATGAACATAATAAACATAAAAACTACACAACCTCAAAAGTACTTTATAAAGAACATTTTGCGGGGCAATGATAAAATTGTATTATAAAACCAAAATTACTAATGTATAGCTATATATTTTATTACATAAATCTAAGGGGGGTACAGAAAAATTCAAAACAGCTCCTTTAGATTTGTTTGTTTATTTTGTGTGTCTGTGCACATGTGGGTGTGAACATGTGGATATGAGTATGTGGCTGTGAACATGTGGCTGTGAATATGTGGATATGCACACGTGTATGCACATGTGGATGTGGACATGTGGGTGTGAACATGTGGAAGTCAGAGGACAACTTAGCGGAGTCAGTTCTCACTTTTCACTATATAGGTTCCTGGGCTCAAACCCAGGTTCATTAACTTTTTTTGTCTAAAAATAATGTTGCAATTTCTGAATCCAGATCATCAATATGAGTAAGTATTTTGCAAATACTTGAAGTTTTTCATAATAAGAAGACATAGCTAAGAGCTGGTTTAAAATATTTTTATGAAGTCTGTTGAAATATAAGCAAGGTGCTGGCAAGTTTGTATGAACCTGAGTTTCCTCTTAGAGGATCTGAATCATCTTTAGAGGATCCTGGCATCTTTGGGAATGACTTCTGAAAGTGATAATGCTTCTTCGCCATTCCAATACCAGCAGACCAGCGCGTTGCTCCAATGCCCAACTATTCTTTATTTTACTCACTGTAAATTATAAAGTCCCAGGAGACCCATTCCTCGAAAATCCGTCTTTGGATCATCACCTTGGAAACCAATCTCACACCACTGCTTAGAAATCCGAGATTCCAGTGGTGTGTTGGGCTTCAGGAACTCCCATAGCTGCAGTGGGGAAAAAAAAGAGAGCCACTTTTGGATGTGTGCACACAAGTGCCCTGTCTTAGCGGTGCAGATGCTATGAGCTGTTTTTTGACAAGAGGATTTGCAAAGGTGAGTATATGCACATATATTACAATAGCAGCTCTTAAAGGTGACCGAACATCTTCCAGGGTTGGACAATAAATAGGCAAAAATGTTATTTCATAATAAGAACAAGAGGTTCTAAGCCTTTACTCTTATCTCAAAAGCGAACTGTAGAATGCTGTTATGGAGTTGTTGCTTTGAAGGCATGGAATGCATAAGTGGAGATCCTAGTGTTTTAATCTTCATATTTTTGTTCCCAATCAATGAGGTAAATAGATAAGTAACATTCTACAAAAAAATGCTCTTTTGGGGGGTCTCTAAAATATTTAAGACCACAAAAGAAAAGGAAAATGGAAAATGTTGAGGTCACCTGTTGTTCAACTCCACAGAAACCTTTTTCTAACATTCCATCAACATGCTTAGCATGAAGACCATTAATAAAAACAATAGGGACCGGCTCAAGTTTCATTTCTCAGGTCTTACCTGTGACCGGAGTGAGAGTAAATATCATACAGCCAAATAAAGAAACATTAGCAGTGTTCATGAGTAAGCCTCATGTCTTGAGGAGTTGTCTAAAAGAATTTCATTTAAAATCAACAATAGAACAGTGGGAAATATAAATTCAGAACATTACACTCTTCACCGCTTTATAATTTTAGTTTATTTTCCAGATTTTCAGTAGAAAACTAGATTTAGCACACATCATAATGATAGAGATAGGTAGACAGATGGCAAGGATTGTGATCCATGGTACTATATAATATAGAATGCTTAGAGGTAAACGCCACTCTGAGCCTCCTGACTTGAGTGCTGGAAATTGAGTTTGGGTCCTCTGGAAGAACAGAGAGCACCCTTAACTGCTGAGCCATCTCTCCAGCCCCACAGATATTATATAAATCCATATATTCACATATCCATAAATAAACTATAAGTTATATTTTATTTCCTTGTATGTGCATTTTGTGTGGTGGTGGTGGTGTGTGTGTGTGTACATGTGTGCACATGTCTGTACATTTGAATGGGACCAGACTTTGGTATTGAGGGTGTTCCTCAATTGCACTTTATCTTGTTTTACTTTTTTAACCTGGAGTTCACCAATTCAGCTAGTGTGGCTGGCTAATGAGGTCCAGGGAACCTCCGGAATGTCTCTGCCTCCCCTGGGTTGGAGGTTACAGCTACATGCCATCCTGCTTGGCTTTGTAGGGTTCTGCAGATTCAAACTGCAGATTCTCATGCTTGTATAGTAAGCACTTGGCCAATAACCTTTTCCTCTGGCCCAAAGATCGTATTTTCTTCCGACTATCTCAGAAATGGTTAAGTTTCTGAATTTTTATTTCATATTATATGAATCTTAAAGCTTCAATAAAACAGTAATATAACATTATCTTGCTTTGTTGTGAATTGTCAGGTATTGGGTATAGTGTAAAGTCTAATATTTAATGGCAGAAAATACAAAGAGGTGGAGATCTGCAGTTCAGAGGTAGAGAGATGGCTCAGTAGGGGACGCGATTGCTACACAAGCATGAGGGCCCAAGGTCAATTCCCAGAATACTGTACAGAAGCTTGGAGTAATGGCTTCTGCTTTTAATTCCAGTTCTGAGGATGGAGAGGCGAAATTCTGCAATTTATTAGCAGCCAGGGACAACAGAAACACGCACACATGGCTATATGACCATAAAACCCCAAATTTAGGTAGACTAAATTTGGCCCATGACTTTTGCTTGCTGACTCTTGTGCTAAACACTTTTGTGATGTCGAAGCAGGGGTATTCATCACCCATCTTAAAGAGGAAGCTTGAACCCGGGCAATTATACACCAGCACTGGCCAGGCTCTGCAGGTACAAAGGTAGACCAGGTATGGTTTCCTCTGAAGAGTCAGTGCGGTGCAGTGGGTGGAGCACTCTCTAACAATGTGAGTTTGCAGTCACTGCTCAGCCTTGGTTTTCTCACCGCCCTCTCCAGATGGAGAAAATACCAGTACATCAGCACAAGGTCATTGTGACAAATAAAACGGAGAACTTTGTGCAAGATTTATTGTAGTGACCAGAACACAGCAAACATCCAGTGTTTCAATATTATGACTTTATTACTCTTACACTTGGAATGTAAATACCCAGAAGGGCAGAATAAAGATCTGTGTGTATTTGGGAAGGCTAGATATTATTTCAAAATCCAATGAATAGGGATTAAGAAAGCCAGGTGGCTTCTTCTGTGAGAACAATGAATAACAATAGGAACAGCATACGCAAATTCCTGGACACTTGGTTGTCACAGCTTACCCCGTGTTATGCTATGGTGAAATGCACTGTATTAATGGATGGGGATGCAACAGCTAGAGCTGAGAGAGTACATCAGGAAGGGGCTAACATGCTGCTCTGAGCAATGTGGACTCTGCTATAGTATGTAGGAAGTATGAAGGTGTTCTGTTTTGTTTGAGAAAGAATCTTGCTTATAGCCCTGACTGCCTTTAAGTCCCAGTCATCTTTGCTTCGGCCTCCCCAGTGCTGGGATTTCAGGTGTCTAGGGATAGTAATCCATCTTAATGGCTAGACTTGTCATAAAACCTCTCTGTCAGTACTTAGAAGATGGGAGGGAAGAGTCTGATAGTCAGGTTCAGAATTAAAAGACTGTAAAAGCCAACCTGGAGATGATGGCAAGATAAGAGAATGGGCACAGACCCACTGGAGACATATTTGGTATGCTTTTTGGATAAGAATTAGGGATGCAGAACACGTCCTGTTAGATTCCAAATCACATAAGAGTGAAAAGCCTATCCCCAAAGGGTCTAACTCAGAGCCAGGCGTGGTGACTCACACCTGCAACCTCAGCACTTTGGAAGCTGAGGCAGGAGGATTGCCACAAAGACAAAGACAGACTACTTGGCTACATAGTGAGTTTGGGACCAACTCACAATAACATGGTGAGACTTTGTCTCAAAACAATAAAAACAGAAAGGGCCAAACCTGATGGTAAGCACTTCTGGCTTTATTATTTACTAGATATGTGGTAGTCAGACAGTCAGCATGAATGAAAATAATGCAGTTTTCTAACCTCTAAACAAAGAAAATTCCTTAGCCACAGCATCAGAATGAGAGTATGTACACACTCAAATCATAACCACTGATAAATGTTAACAGACTAATCCAGGGCTTCTCAACCTTCCTAACGCTGCAACCCTGTATTGCAGTCCCTTGTGTAGAGCTGACCCCAACCATAAAAATACTTTCGTTGCTCCTTCATGACTGTAACTTTGCTACTGTTATGGATTGTAATGTCAGAAATATCTGACATGTGATCCCTGTGAAAAAGTTTTTTGACCCCAAAAGGGGTTGTGACCCACAGGTTGAGAACCACTAAAGTCGTCACATGGGTCTGAAGTGAGTGCACTACACTAGCCGAGATAAACTCAAAATTAACAAATAGGATTTGGATGCCTGCTATGTGCCATCTTTAGCTGTTCTTAACATAGCTAAGTGTGATGGCTAATCTTGGAATTAACAGAAACTCTAGCAGCTGGGTACCTCTCTGAGGGATTTTCCTCAGACAGGAGCACTTGAGCATCTTAAATCTGGGCCAGACCTTCTGGTGGCAGCTCATGTAAACGGGCATGGGAGAAGAACATTATTGTTTTTTGCCTGCTTTTCCTCACTCTCACTGGTGAGCTCATCTGCCCTGTTCCTGGGCCTTTGCTGGTGCTAGAACCACCAATTCTATCAGTTGTTTCAGGATTTCAATACAGACTGAAAACTGACAGCTCTCTAGGAATTCCCTGGGACTCCAGCACCAGATTGGAGCAGATGAGACATTCAGTGTGGATTATACAACTACGGGATCCATCAGGAGACAGCCATCATTGGATTACTTGAACAATAGCTGGTAAGCCATAAAATATATATATATATATATATATATATATATATATATTTAGTTCTTTTACTCTAAATACCCTGACTTATGCACTAAGAAATTTCAGTAAATCATGCATTCACCCCATTCCCATTCCCCTTTTTTGCTGAACACCTATTATAAGCCAGTTCACATACCAGACAAGCCACATAGCAGGCATCCAAATACCTTCAGCTAATTTTGTGTTTATTTCAGCCATTGTGAAGCATTTCAGTTATGTATAACCAGGCTGTTAATTGTGCTGATTCATTTCATTTTCAGTTGCCTTGATCCTAGCTATTATATCATGTTGTTGAATTTGATAACCTCCATCAGAAAATGGTCAGGGGGGATGGGCAATAGGAGGAGGCAGAACTCAGCTAGTAGGGTAGCTGAAATTAACAAGAAAGAGAAAAAGGCATGCTATTGCCAAGAATGAGGTTTCTTTAGTTTTTAATGATCACCTCAGATCCAGCACTAATTAGCAGAGAGAGACAAATGATTCACCAACTTAAGTACTTGCATACACAAAAACACACACTCTTTCACACAAAACACAAGACCCATTAAAAAATTACATCTGTTGACATTTTCAGTTAAATAAAGGCGAGGTAGATAAACAAATGCTTCCTTCTCTCTCAATAAATCATGTACATATGTATCACTGTATTACAAACACCTGAGTGCAGGTGGCCTGAAGTGGCCAGCAGAGGGCACCAGATCCCCTGGCGCTGTAGTTACCAGCAGTTGAGAGCCAAGAGCTTTAAGCAGCATGCTTTCTTGACTGAGCCATCTCACCAGCCCCTCCTCTAGTTTTGTCATTGGCTATTTGAAATTTAGGAAGAAACAGAGGAGCACTTGATGCCAGTAGAGTATCTATTTTCAGAAGTGACTGTCTAAAGCATTTTAATTGAGTTAATACTTCCAAATGTTGCTCTGGATTTTATTCTTGGGGCTTTATTTACCCTCATACTTCATTGTTTTGTGGAAAGTTCTATGGATATTTGATGATGCTGCAGCATTAGAGTTTGTAAGATTTGAAGCAAGGAGTACTTACAAGCAGTACTCACATGACCTTCCTGGCAGTTTTAATGTGTCGAATATAAACCTTTAACCTGCTCTTTGAATGTTTGCCAAGTCACATGAATAAGTAATCAGCGTGAGGATCTTGGGTAATTTCCCCAGAGAGCTATTGCTGAAGCAGAAATCAACCTTATTGTCTTTGATGTGTATTGGAGTCGTAAGTAAAAACCCCACAACACTCTGACAAACACTGTCTTGTTTCTCCTACAGCTTTCAACACATTTGAAGCAATCCAATCTTCCAAGTGTGAGGTGCCCCTCCCCTAAAGAAATCACCTCTGAAGTTTTCTCAGATTATGAAAGTCTACTGGCTTTAATGTTAATATCTCAGATGAATTTTCTTATGAAAAAATTTACCCTCAACCAGCAAGAGAAGCCACCTTGCCAATCTGCCACAGCACCCATCTTGTATCTTTGACAGGAAGATGCCTGGCCTGAGAGCTGGGCAGTCATTAACTGATGTTAGAGAAGAGCTCACCTTCAAAAGCATCTCTTCGTGCTGGGGGTTGTCAGAATCGTAGGGCTCTCTGCGCAGTTTTTCCACATCTGCAATGAGGTTTCTGTAACCCACGATTTGCAGAAGGCAAGCCTGGAGAGAGATTCCCAACCTAAAACACAGAAGAACCGAGTGTGAGACGAAGAGGGCCTGTGTGCTGTTGGCATTTGCTCACTTGATACCTGCATTAGCAGTTGTGTAAATGTTTTCATGTACATGTTCCGGAGTACACATTCATGAATATATTCATCCTGCCCTTTTCTCCTTCTTTGTTCAGTTTCTCCAGACAGGGCCTTATGCTGTAGTCCAGGCTGGCCTAGAACTCACTCTGTAGCCCAAGCTGGCCCCAGATTCTAGACAGTCTTCCTGCCTCAGCCTCTCCCCAGGCCTGGCTAGAAGCACACTTTTTGTTGAACTGTGAAAATCCTTTCCCTTCATTGTAGTCTTTCCTTAAGTGCAAGTTTAACTGTTTAGCTTAAAAACAAACAAGGGAGGCCTTCAAGAAGGTAGCTTGAAAGATGTAAAAACAGGGTTGACAGAGTCTTAGGGACCATTTAGGTGGGTATATTACATCAACTTCAAAAGTCTGTGCAAGAGGGAGAGAAGGAGAGAAGAAGGGAGCCCTCAGGGGATTCAGAACAAGAGACTTTTCTAGACAAAATAAGAGCAACAAAATGGCAGTGGTGACGGCTTTGGGGGAGGTGGCAGTGGTGGCATCACCTCTGTGAAGAGTGTCCCGAGAGGGGAGGGAATGCCATGAGAGACGTCTCTCCTTCACATCATTCCTTCCACAGCCCACCCACTCTGCACATCTGATCCCGTGCTCCAAACAGATTTACCTCCACCTTTCCCCTTCCGGGCCTACTGTTTTATGATGTTTATCCCTCTAGTCCAGGGTTCTCAACCTTCCTAATGTTGCGGTCTTTTAATACAGTTCCTCATGTGGTGGTGACCTCCAGCCATAAAATTATTTTTGTTGCTACTTCATGTCTGTAATTTTGCTACTGTTATGAACCATAATGTCATAAATGCAGGGTATCTGATATGTGACCCCTGTGAAAGGGTCATTCAACCCCCAAACGGTCAAGACCCACAGGCTGAGAACCAGTGTTCTAGTCTCAATTCCAGGGATAGAAAACAAAACAAAACAAAACAAAAGCCCTATTCCTTCAACTCCTTCTCACGGGGCTTCTGATTCATATAGTACAGCATTCTGCTGTGAATGCATAGCATGTTGGATATATTTATATCTGTGAATATATGTATATGAATAATAATTTGAGAAAAAGTGGCTATGAATTTGAGAGGGATAAGTGGGTAGAGCATGGGAGGGATAGAAAGGAGGAGAAGAAGGGAAATCATGTAATTACATTTAAATAAAAAATAAAAATAAAAGCCAGTTTTAAAATTTTAATATTTATTTATTTTGTGTGTGTGTGTGTTATGTGTGTGAATTTATGTGCACCATGTGCATGCAGATGCCTGTAGAAGCCAGAAGGGGACATCAGATCTCTTAGAACTGGAGTTATAGGTAGCTGTGAGTTTGCAATTGGGTCGTGGGAGCCAAACTCAGATTCTCTGTAGAAGCATTAAGTGCTCCTAACTGCTGAGCCATCTCTCCAACCCAAGAGAAGATTATAGAACTATATTTACTACATAACTAAATCAACCTTAACATTTGAATGAGGCAAAGGTACAGTTTACTAGCTCATGAGCCTACAGAAAGATGCTGTAGAGACCGGAGGAAATGGAGTTTGAGTGAGCTCCTGGATAGATGGAGAGAAAGAGTAGTGCCTAGTATACTCTGAACTCCCTTCAACTCTGTCTCCATCTTTGTTATTTTTTTATTAATTTTTATTTAAATTAAAAACAATCTTATTTTATATACCAACCCCAGTTCCCTTTCCCTCCCAACCTCACATGGGGGATCATCAACTTCTGTCACATCCTCTGTGTATCTAGGCTGAGAGATTATCCTTCCATAGGGAATGGGCTCCCAAAGCCTATTCGTGCATGAGGGACAAATACTGGTTCTGCTGCCAGAGGCCCCATAGACTGCCCAAGCCTCCCAACTGACATCCATGTTCAGGGGGCCTGGTTGAGGATTTTGTTAAATGTTCACATCTATAAAATGAGGATCTTTTCCTTGGATGATTAAATGAGACATTTAACTCAGAAAAAAAAAAGTTGCTAGGCAAAATGGAACATGCCTTTAATCCCAGAACTTGGGGTACAGTGCTAGAGTTCCAGGCTAGTCTGGTCTACATGAAGACTTCCAGGCTATTCACAGTTAGACTCTTGTCTATTCTATCTAAAGGAAAACTTAAAATAATTTTTCCTTTTTTTTTTTTTTTTTTTAATTTAGCAAGACAGGGTTTCTTTGTGTAACTGCCTTGGCTGTTCTGGAATCCATCTTTGTTGTCCATCTTTGTTATTAACAGTCATTCCCAGCAGTGACATCCTAAGTTCTCATGCACAGAGATCTCTGAGACAGTTTGTTACCAGCCTCAAGCTGTCTCTAAGATACCTGCATTTAGAATTAATTCTCCTTAATGCCTTTAAGGCCCAAATTTTACTGAAAAATTGCTGCACCCAGTGGAAAATATAAAGCTAATTTTAAATGTCATGAACATTGCCAAATGCATTTTAATACTTCCAAGATGAGAGGAATACATTATAAAGTTCTAAAGTAGTCATATAAAACCATCTCTTCCTCCCACACATGCCTGTCTTCTTGTCAAGCAGGTAGGAACTGTCTCCAAGATTATCAACCCGGCATGATGGAATATTCATGAGGGAACTGAAGGATTATTCTAGATGGATTGGAATCAGTGTAAGCAGATATGATTTGAGCATATGAAATTAATGTAAAACATAGAAATCAAGTAATGTCCTGCTGATGAATGGGCTTTCTTGATCTCATATTTTGTTATCAGCTTACACATCCCTTTTTTTCATTCATGGCAAGAGGACCATAAGCTTACAAACCAAAGCCATTTACAAACATGAAGCACCTCTGAAAGTCAAAACACTGCAGATAATTATTTTAAAGAGGAGGGAGAGGGAGGTGAGAGAGGGAGAGAGAAAGAGACAGACAGACACGGCCATCTGATTTGTGTTCTGTATTTTTCACGTGCAAGTCCAATTCTTACTGTGGGTTGATGTCAGGGTTAATTTGTTTCAGTTCCATGATGTCATCAATAGTCTTTTCGATGGCATCGGGGTGAACACTCACTGATGTCTGCAAGAGCTGGAAAACATCTTTCAGTCAGTTTCTTTCATTAGCATCAGTGGCTTAAACAATACCTGATGGAGGCTTCAGGTACTACACTTCTGCATGAAAGTAGGGCTAAAAGCAGACTGATGGAGAATGTATGAATCCCAGTGCATGCTGTGTGTTCACAGCTGGGGTAGTGCCATCTCCCCAGGCATGGTATTTGACATAAAGCAGGCACATAGAAGGTTTATGCTTTGCTTTGTTCTTTACGTTGTCATTTGTTTTAAGCTGTTTATATTACACTGGTATGGTTTCCTTTTCACCTGATAGAATGAATCCCCCCAGACTGGAGTTACTGATGGTTGTGAGCCCACATGGGTGCCGGGAATCCAGCTTGGGTCCTCTGAAGGGCTTCTAGTCACTGAACCCTCTCTCCAGCTCTGTGCTGTTATTACATTCCTTTACATTCCTCCCCCCCCCCTTTGGTTTTTTGAGACCGAGTGTCTCAGTGTAGCTTTGGAGTCTGTCCTGGAACTCACTCTGTAGACCAGGCTGGCCTTGAACTCAGAGAACTGCCTGCCTCTGCCTCCCAAGTGCTGGGATTAAAGGTGAGCATCACCACCGCTGGCTATTACATTATTAGTTTATGATTTAAGAGGTGGTACAAAATGAGTTATTGCAACACTAAACTTTACAAGTCTGCCTAGAAACTGTTATATATGTAAAAATGTGTATTACTTGTTTTTTACATTAGCTATTTGTCAGTGATATATTTTTGTCCTTGCAATTCTAATTTTAGTTTTTATTGTCTTAAAGTATTTTATTCCATTGTGTATACAGCTGTGTGGGGTGCACACACTACCCAACATGTATGGAAGTCAGAGGTCATCCTGAGGAGTCAGTTCCTCCACATGGGGTCTGGGGATCAAACCCAGGCTTGGTGGCAGCCACCTTTACCGGCTGAGTCATGTCACAATTTTTATGTTTTATGATCAAGGTAAGCCCCCCACCCCAGTGAAAAGCTACTGAAAAATGAAGAAACAATTTACTAACCTTACTTTTCGAATCCCGCAGTGATGTTTCTGTTAAAGCAATAACACACACACACACACACACACACACACACACACACACATCATTAGCTACAACGGGTTATTATGAGTGTTTGAATATTATTTACTTAAATATTACACGGCATTCTCACCCTCCCCCTGTGGACTCTGCCCTCCCTTGTACTCCCTGCTCACCGATTTTCATGGTTCTAGAAGCTCCAGGCTTGGTGCTGTAGCAAATCCTTTGCAGCTCACACCTTCCTGTGAGCTTCCGCATCACAAACTTCATGCAGCGCCACAAAAATTTACAGTAAAAATACAGGCAAACCTGGATCAACATCCTGCAGGGAACAAAAGACAGCGCCCTTCCGATAGAAAGCTGGGAGAGAACAGAAAGCAACCACCACCAGCAAGAAAAGCAGCCGGGGAAGAAAATCAGCCATTAGTTCTCAGTGTCCACAGGTGCTCATCACTCCACTCCTGAGAGGGACAGTTACCATGGCTACACAACCCCAAAAAGCTGAGGGGAAACCTTGGGATTCTGTTTTCTCCCATCTTGTCTAAATATTTTGGCAATCAATTGGTGTTAATATGGCCTCTTGCCCGGATGAATGGCTGTTCACTCCGTTCCCAACCTCCCATGCCCACCCTGCCTCCAGTCTTAATTTCTTAATGCCCTCTACTCATGCTCCGCTGCCAGCATTTTCTCCTTTCCTTTCTCCCATCCTTTCCTGTCTCTGCTCTTCTCCTCTGGTTGTGTGGCTACTGCATTCCTTGCTGACCACTCACTCCCAGCATGCCCTGCTTCTGCCCAAAGGCTTCATCATCAATATGCAGAGGCAGGATTTTTGACCTTTGATTCTCCATGGCATCTTTTCTGGGCTCCCACAAAGCACCAAGTTCTTTACAACACCTCCCAACTCAGTCCAGCAACACCTCAGAAAACTGTCACATCTCCAAACATGTGTATTCATGTGTAACATATATCTCATCTTACTCCAGCAACACCTCAGCAAACCATCTTGTCTCCAAGCATGCGTGTATTCACATGTAACTCAACTCGTGACTTCATTTTTTTATGTAGATTTTTGATTTAAAAACGGAAGTGCCTGCTACTTTCTGCTATTGTTCAGAATCTCATGGTGACTCGGACTTTGGAGACAATGACAACCTGTCACCCAGAATGTTATGTTCAAGCCCCTCTTCACACTGTGTTCCTAGGAGACAGAGTTATACGCATTACTTTCCACTGATGTCATTTCTGAAAGTTTTTTTTTTTTTTTTTCTCAAACGTTCTCTGATTTTCTCATGTTCCAAAATAAGGTGTTTAGGGCTATTTGGATCAATTACAGTGGTTAGCATTCTCAACAATGTGTCTCATTTAGTTGGCCAATTAGTCAACTAATTTGGTTATATTCATGTCTTTGAATTGTTCTAGTTCTAATACCGTCAACAGTCTTGTGTTAAAACTGGAGTCTAATGTGTATAAGGTCATAGGGTTTAGATTTTACAAACACAAAGGAAACGATGACAAGAAAACACAGCGCTCAAATTGTCCCACAAAGAAGACACCATGGAGTAGTCTACAGGCAAGAAAGCCACAGCCAGGATAGCAAATAACATGAAAACACTTATGATACATACTTGATAGGAAATAAAAACGCACACAAATGTATATGTCATGACCTAGATTTCCTCTAAGAAGTAGAACAACTTTAATAGTGATATATAAACAACAGGAGGGGGCTGGCCAGCTACCTGCTGAAATGTTAATAATGGCACTGCTAATTATGGGAGTCATCAGCAGGAATTTCTTCTTGATTTACTAAGTACAGTTTCTTTTTTCCTAAATATTATCTTAACATGAAAATGAAAAAGCCCTAATATGTGTAAAGTGATCACCAAAAGTTATTATTAGTCATGCTTTTTCTGTGTGCAGCCAGTTACTATGAAATTGATTGAATGCTGTATTTACTGTGTTAATCAAGCCTGACACCTAAGTGTTCAAGTCAAATATAAGCTGAGCTCTGGTAGGATTACCTCATTTGGAAAATAAATGCTATTTTCTATCTGTTGGATGACTATTCCAGAAAAAAAGATTAAGTTGTATCTTTGTTGACTGGTGTCCAACCAAATGCCCATGACAGTAATATTGGAAAGTACTGTCCTGTTATAAAGTAAAGAAGGAAAACCATGATATCTGTTCTATGTCCAGTTTTCAATGGCAAATGGCCTCAGCATGTGGGTCAAGGTCCAGACGAAGCCCCCTTTCAAGTCCATGCATCAGGACTCTATACCACATGATCTTTGGGTCCTTGAAGAACTAAATCTCTCAAGAGTTAGAATGCTCCGAGAATTGCTTATGGAATGCGATGGTTTCTGACTCTAAAGGCCCATGGTTAAAGTCTTGGTCCCTAGGAAGGTACTATTGGGACCTAGCAGGAATGCTTTGGGGCACTGGGGGCCTGTCTATGAAGGGGACTGTGGGAGCCTGTCCCTCTACCTCTCTCCTCCTCCTTTGCTGTGTGGCCATGAGGTGACAAGCTTTGTTCCTTGAGTAACAGGACACAGCTGTAATTTCAGGATTATGAGTCAAGTAAATCTCATTGAAGTTTCTCTAAGGTATTGATCATAGCAAACGAAGTTTATTAACACATGGAGCTCCTTCACCATCACTCTACCCAGGATAAAGGCACCTGCCATTTCATAGCTTAAATTAAGCTCCAGGATGGTTCTCCTATAACTGCTGCAACAGGCCTACATAGAGGTGTGGCTTGAGACTTAGTTGTCATCCTAGGTGTCAGGAAGTGTCTATCTGTAGAGTGGATTAGAGCCTGGGTATTATATCTTGCCCAGGTCTCCTTCAGAAAAAAAAAAAACATATGGGTTTCATAAGCAGATAAAAGACATCCTATTATGTTTGCTTTTCTCTGTCTCTCTATCTTTTCATACTCACAAGGATATTTACACTGTCAAAAGTAATGAAATACAGTAGAAATGCCAAGGTGGGGCTTAGGACAGAAGCATCACTCTGAAGGTGTGCAGGAGACTGTGACAGCCCATAGTCACATGAACCATACCACAAAATACAAATGACAAAATTCCTAAATGAAATGAACTGTCACTCACATACTACCTGCTCTTTTGTAAGCTTCATACTTGTAGACTTTGTAACACTATTTTGTTACCCAAGATAAATTTAAATTTCCCCTTATTTTCCTGATGTTTTGAAGGAAGCAAAGTTTGTTTTAAAGACTTACTTTTTATGTGTATAAGAGTTGTGCCAGCATGCATGCATATATACCACATGTGGCCTGGTACCTGGGAGTTCAGAAGAAGGAGTTGGATCCCCTGGAACTGGAGTTAGGGATATTTGTGAGTGTGGGTGCTGGGAGCCAGACCCATGTCCTCTGTAAGAGCTACAAGTAAGTGCTCATAACTGCTGAGCCAGTCCCTCTCTTATTTTTCTAATGAGCCAACATCCAGCCTCATTTCATCTAAAGAACAGCTTGCCATGCTAAGTACTATGTATCTTTAAACAATCACCAGATGACCTAGCTCTAGCTGAATCCCCCGTTTTCTGAGACCCTGTTCCCACTGACAGTGTTCCTCTAATGAAGCAGACTAGACAAGAGTTCACTTTTATTTGGTGACAAGGATATGATTCATTTTCAACAGTTTACACTGGATGCTATTCTTGTTTAGGCTAGAGAGTGAATTTCAATACTAAACGTAGTTATAACTGTTTTATGGAAGAATATTGCTATGAACTATACAGTGTGTTAATAATCAGCAGTAGCAGACAATGTTGGAAATGGGAGCTGTATACTAGTTCTTATTATTGAGTCAAAGTCCCCCTATGCTTCAGCAAAGTGTCCCTGCTCAGAGGCTGCAGATCCTCATTCTGGAACACCAGGCAAGACTGAAAATCAGAAACAAGTACAAAACCTTGCTACCTGTGCATGGGTGACTGTCAGAGGCTTTGCCTTCTAATCCTGAGAATTCCTATAAAATCTAACGGACTTTATCAGTAGTGAATGGAGAACCCTGCTTGGAGGAATCCTGCAATAAACAAGAAGCAGACTATTGATGAGAAAAAGAGATATCCAAAAGGAAAATCAGTGCTTGGCTCAAACCACAGTTCTCCAAATGAAATACTTCTCATGGAAATGAGCATTGAGCACAGTGAGCCACTCAGGGTTCCCAGCATCACACACACACACACACACACACACACACACACACACACTAGCATGAATGCAGAAATCTATGTTTGTCCTCCTGAAGATCTTAGTAGAGGCACTAGGCAGTTAGTGTGGAATTAATGTGACAAAAGGTGTTTGACCTAGTGACGGGGACCCTTTCCCATGTAAGCTTCCCAAGGGAAAGAGAAATTCAGAAGATTTGAAATGTGACCAGAATATGAACTCACATTTGGAAAAGATTCCCCTCCTACAGAGCAGGAAAGAGTCCCCAGCCCTAGCTAGAGAGGGGCTTAGCTTACAGTCTTTCCCAACATTCTTTGTCCAAAGAGACCATCCTGTCTTCTGAAAAGTAAAAAATTACAGGGGCTTCTGGGTAACTATCTTCCATGTTTTGATGCTGTTGCTAACTCTGCTGCCATGGTGACGGGCATCATGTTGACATTCAGAGAAATTTTGTCCGTGGGTTTAGAGAACAAGTAGTGATCATGGGTCAGTGAGATAATTAATTAATTAGTGGCTCATCCTTTCCCATCCAAGGAGAAGGGATGGCATCGTTAATCAAGTTAAAAATCTGATGCTTAAGAGCTTTCCTTTTACAAGATTAATTTTTCTGAAAGTCACATTTTTTTTCTTCTTCTGTGTATACCATGTATGAGGAGAGTAGCAAACACTATTTGTTGGCATTTAGAAATACTTAAATGTCACATCAACTGTAAACTTTTACTAGTAAATTAAAGTATTTTTTTAAAACTAGGGTCGGGGAGGTGGCTCAGTTAGTAAGTGCTTTCTTCACCAGCATGAGGACCAGAACTCAATCCCTAGCACCCACATCAAGAGCCAGGGGTGGGGCTGTGCCCTCCAACACTGATGATGAGGGGGTAGAGAGGAGAAGATCTCTCAGGCTTGCTCTCCAGCTACTGGAGCCAACCCAGAGAGCTCCATGTTTAATGAGAGGCTCTGTCTCAAAAATAAGGTGGGGAGTGACTGAGGAAAATACCCAATTTTTACCTTTGGCCTCCACATCCATATGCATAAACATACACACACATGAACACCTGACCACACATGTGCACACAAACACATCCACACAAAAATACCTCTCAAGCCATAAAAATTAAATAGATACACAAATACAG